TATATATTTTATATGTTTAGATAGATACACATGGACTCACACTTTTAAGTTGACATTGGAAGTGCAAATGTATGACAGTTCTTCAAATATGTCATAATATTTCAATTTTTATTTGTAAATTTTGATTTGTTTGGTGAAATATGGGTCAAAAGGAACCATATTTAATAAATCTCAAAAGATGTCGAATGTTTTCAATGAATTAGGAAAGGAAAAGTCAAAAGTGCTCTAAATTAAATTATTGTTTTTTCAGTGTGTGGAGGCCATTGTTATTTGTCCAATAATCTTGAATATTCTTGCAAATCTAGTGTTATTTAATTTAACCGGGCATATAACCTTTGATAGAGCTGAAAGACGAAAAACTTTCGTGTAGTTGACAACATTTAAATGGAACACATGACTTAATTTGGTTTGATTATATTTTGGGCAGTGGCCATCACGATAGGAAAATTGCAATTTATGTGCAACAATGCTATGATCACCATATTTGTGTCTCAAGATGTTTGCTATCTCATGATTTCATTAGTAATAGATACGAGTGATAAGACTCATTAAACCAATACAATTGTGATACATAAGATGATAAATATCTTTTCGTATGCAAATATGGGCATCATAGCGTTATTGTCTCATCGTGATTGGTCAAATCCCAATAGATGCTTGCTTTGGGACAATCATGAGTTGCAACTCTTTAACTATCAAATTGGAGATAAAATGATTTTAGAAGTTTTGTGTTGATGGTTCACCAAGTAAAGGTGAATTTGGGGTAGAAATATATTCACAAAAAGGTTTTTGGATAACCCAGGTTTATCCTAGATATTTCACCCCACATTGCACCGTACAATGATTGGTCTTTGGGCTTTGCCTGTTTAAAACCCCATGCTAAAATCTTATGGTTATGTAGCATTTTAAGTCGAGCACACTGTTTGGAATGATGTAGCAGTGACAAATTTCCAATTATAGATTTACCTTTTTAACTTGCAGAGGATGTAGGTAGTGTAGCAGGGGATTATATGAAATGAGATGAATTATTTAGAAATCTCACGAGCATATTAAATTGTATGAAGCATGTCGTATGTTATATATATATATATATATCTTATATGGCCTTGTAAGTTGCATCCATGTCATGTTTTTTGGGAGGTTTCACCTGAACTTGTTAACAAATTATACTTGTCAAACCTTGCACATTGCTTGCGGCAATTTTGTGAATTTTGGTCGAATCTAGCACAGTTATTGCTTAATCCCAAATACTTATTCAAAAAGCAAGTAATTTGATGTTATTATTGCAAATATTAATTAATGTAATGTTGACCAATAGGCTTCTTAACTGTTGTATTTAGAAGGAGAAACAACACAAGATCTAGATTACGTAAATTCAACACAAATTGAAATAGGGTTTTGATTTTAGTTGCTTAGCTTTATAAAGGGGTCAAAATAGAATTGGAGAGTTGGATATTTTCGATGTTCGACTAGAGATGAGGAGGTAGCCATGTGTGAAGGGAAAGGCTAGTTCGCATGCACACACACACACAGAGATGGCATATAGGGCAGCCACTTGAGTTTGTAACAAACTTGATCTAAACTATCTTTTTTTTTCTTACAAAGTAGATGTGTTAGCTATTATTTATAGTTGTATTTGCAATTTTTGGAGGCCAAGCAAACATGCCACCAAAGATGTAGCCAAGGCTAGGCCTTGGTTGGCCAAGCCCCCCTATTTTTAAAAATCCATATAACCATGGTATACATGTCAACCACTTTTAGATTTGCAATGTTGGTTGAGTGGTAGAATAGTATATATAACCCAAAAAGCAAAAAGTCCCTAAAAAAATTCAATCTACATGTGAGCCAATAAGCCAATGGTCCTATCATTAGATTACTTATAAAAAAAAGAAAACATCATTAGATTGTAATTGAAAGAGCAAAAAGGTATTATCAAACTCTCTTTCTATATGTATAATGTTCAAAATTTATGATGTGACATCTTCTCTTAAAAAGTGAAGACTTGTCTCTTCTCTCGCACAAATTGCGGCTTGCACAGTCTTATTGCTCAGTGCCTCATGGGAACAACAACAAAAATAAATGAATTTCGTGATAAGAAAGAACGTCAGGTACCATTTTGATAGACAACTAAGTGGCTATATATTTAAAAAATTATTTCTTTTGTTTATCCTCTAGTATATTTAGTTATTCTGAATATTTTGTTTGATATATTTTAATGCATTACAAATTAGGGTATAAAAAATGTAAATTAGCTTATATTATTTGTCTAAATTTTTGTACATAATGTTTGGTCCCCTTGGAATAAAATCTTGGTTTTGTCCCTAGATGTCACATGTCCAATGGTTCACATGGTGAAATTCCCTTCTTTGAATTCTGAACTGCCAGGTCAAGATGGATACACCACTGTACCTCGATAGGTTGAGATAGAGACATGGTCTTCAACTTGACAATCCTTGCTCTTAGCCATTAAACCACATGATCCCCACATGGTTAAAACCATAAAAAAGTTCAGAGACCACAATATCACATATAGAGCTTTGAGGTGCTTCATTAGTCATGCCAACTGACCCAGATAGATGCTAGTTTGAGTATGAAAGGGAGCTCTTTATTAGTGTCAATTCTATTGAGCTCAAGATGGTCACCTCCACTTTGACCTTGAGATACCATACCATTTCTATATAAGATGTGGAGGCCTTTGGCCTTTAGGAGCATTGTCTTTGAGGATGTCACCCTTGAGGGACTATGGCACTTTACCTTGTGTGGCCTACAAGCTTCAATTTGAAGGCTATGTAATTTATGCTAACAGGGTCTTTTTTTTGGGTGAATAATGATAACAGGGTCAATCTTGCTAAAATGTAGATTTTAGCTAATTTAACACCTTCAAAGTCTTTCTTGGTAGTATAACTCCTTATGAGCAATAGTTGCTTATATTTCGACTTATACTCTTTTTGAAATGATAATTTTCTTTTGCTTGAGAATATTGTCCTTTAATTTTCTTATAGTTTTTTTTTTTACTTGTTTTTGTTCAAAATATTTGATATTTATTGCAAAGCCAGTTGAGCTAAGATTTTGTGTGTTATTTGTTCTTTGAGTTTTGCAATTTTAGATGAATTTCCATTTATGCTTTAGCTGAGTAACAAAGCTTCTAACTTGTTATTGTAATTCTCAGTAGCCAAAAATAAAAAAATAAAAAAAAATTGATGCACTCTTTCTCTGTAGTAGTTACATTATGTTTAAGGTTTGGAAGAGCCATTCGGTTATTTCAATTTGAAGTCTAAAGAGAGAGAAATGGTTTTTGACATTACTAAAATGGTTTTTGATGGTTTTTTGAGTCGGCATTATCTTCTTCTAAACAGGAGATCTTTTTTCGATAAGTTTCTCAAGGGTGGAAATAAAAAATTTGAAAATCTATTTTTAGACAAATATTGTATGTACCAGAATAATATGTTGCTCTGTTTGGGTCTAGTGATGTTGTTGTATGAAGTACAAAGGATTATGCAAGACAATCATATGCAAGCATGTCATTGGTTAAGGACCATCAAGATGAAAAAGAAATTTATAAATTTGTAGGAATAGATGGTTCTCCATTTAAAAAAATTTCCTCAAAACAACCCATTTTGGGGAAACAATTTTAAGGTATTTTTTGAGTTTTCAAAACTTTGTAATTTGTATTCGGTATTTATAAAATTTGAAAAAATACAAATCCCTAATTGCCTAAAAGAAGATGCCACCTGTGTCAATGGTCTAAGAAGCATGGATACGGATACATGATACAACATGATACAACACGGACATGCCACACAACATAGACATGCCAGCACGTTAATTTTTAAAAAATGCAAGACATGACACATAAGGGATACACACAATATGTGATTTTTTACATTTATTCTATATCATATACATGAATATTTCATAAAAGATAATACAAAATGTAACATAACACTAATTCCTAATGTTTAGAGGAGGAGGGATTTATAAGTATAATTCTATGTTGTTTTTCTTTGATCATTGTATCTTAAAAGTTATTTTGTTTAAACTTATAATCACAATGTTTGGTTCTAAAAAATTAAGTCCAATTTTTAGAAAATTGAGTTTTTTTGTTTTCTATTTTTTTGTTTTGTTTTTAATGATTTTATAATATTTTACTCAAATTTTTATATTTTTTAGATACACCTAATCTAAATACGCTTAAAAAATATAATATTTGTGAATTTTTTAAAAAAATTCATCAAATACAAAAAATGCAAAAAAAAAAAAAAATTCATGAAAGTTCAAAACATTTTTGTATTTTGTTGTATTAAATGAATTTTTAAAAGATTTTTATATAATTGTTTTTATTTTTTTAAGTATATTAAGATTAAGTGGATCTAAAATAAAAATTTGATTTAAATATTTATAAAAATCATTAAAAATACAGAAATAAAATTAAAAACTCAAAAAATTATTTTTGAAAACTCAAAAATCGAACAGGGTGAATGTGTTTTTAAAAAAAAAAATTCACAAATATTATATTTTTTAAGTATATTTATATTAGGTATATCTAAAAATTTTAAAAATTGTTTAAAATATGAAAAAATAAAGTGAAAACGAAAAAAAAAAAATAATTTTGAAAAATAAAACCAAACAAGTTGAATCTGATTTTTTTTTTTAATTTTTTTTAAAAAAAGCTAATTGCTTGGTTAGAGTTTTTCAAAAACACTTTTCAGAAAATTCTACTTTCTTGTTTTCTGTATTTTTTTGATTTTACTGAATTTTTTTAATATTTTAAGCAATTTTTTTTTAATTTTTACACATACCTAACATAAATATACTTAAAAAGTAAAAAAATTATGAAATTTTTTTTTAAAAATTCACTAAATACTAAAAATACAAAAAATACAAAAATTTAGTACATTTTTTATATTTTTATACATTTAATACTTTTTAAAATATTTTTTCACAAATTTTCTACTTTTTAAATACATCAAAATCAAAATATAGTACATCTAAAAAAGTATAATGAAACTCTCTCTCTCCTCTTTCATTCATTCAAACTTCTTGTTATGTTAGCTACGATCGATCAAAAGGAACCTCTTCTTTTTCTCTATCGTCGTCTCTGCGAACCCTAGCTTTTCACTCTCTCTGTGCTTCGATCAAAGCTCGCATTTTTAAACTTTGAGCATGGCTTCCGGATCATCGGGTCGTAACAACTCTGCTGCGAGAGGGTTTGATTTCGCCAGGACTACGACAATCAGGATAATTATAATGGAAGGCACTCCGATTCCGTGATCGGATCCAATTCGGCTAAGGTATTGTTCTCATATGCTCGCTATTTATTGGTTTGATTTCGAGTCGAAATTGTATTGTGTGATTGGTAGTTTAGGGTTTTTGGATTTTGATTTGGATTAGTGAAATTATTCTTTCTGTTTCATTTACTTGAATGGAGAAAACTCTTGTTGAATAACAATTAACATGGTATACCGTGGCAGAATTGGATCCGATCGTGAAATCGGAGTGACTTCCATCAGAATTATCTTGATTTGTGATGGAAGATAGTATATGCCTGATTTCTGTTCATGGGGTTTGTTGTTATGATATTTCTAGATATAAAATCTTTAGTCTAACAGCAAATTTTTTAGAACATAACCAAATTAAATAGTCGTTCAATGACATTTTGAATTTGCTATTTTTTTAGCAATCCTAAGGTAAATAGGCTTATATGTTTTGTTTCTTGCAAATTTCCTTATTTAAAGGGTTGCTTTTGAGAAAATATGATCCAAATGAACAAGAAAACAATCTGATCTCTATCCAAAACAATCTGATATGATAAACAATATACAGAAATGCAATAATCAGCTTAAAACTTGTGGTAAATAGGCTTATATGTTTGTGGTTCAAAATTTGTTACTTTTTGTAGTAACTTGAAAAATATATGCTATAACTCATGCTTATGTTTATGCATATGTATTTGTTGATGTGGTTTATTTCCCCTTAAATCTAAGCGTGTGCTAGGTTTCTTTGGTCTTTGTTACTAATATGTCTAAATTTATCATAATGTTTTGGGTTTTAATTTGCCTATGACCTGTGTATACATGTCGTATTTGTGATTAGCTTTGAAGAACAATGCAGTGGTCCAGAGAAAGGTAGCTAGATTTTGGGCCTAGAGTTCTTCTCAAGGCCTCTCGTTTCTGCACACACACAAAACTATCTCAGTTTGCTTCAATACTGAATTTTGCTTGTTGTAGGATAGTGTTGGGCAGCGGGCCTTGGTTATTCACTTTCTAAAATGCAGTGGTTTCCAATTGGACAACCCTAAAATCCATTTTATTTTTCACATGTTAGTAGTCTGAAAGTCTCTTCTCACTGCTCTGTGGATACCTTTACTATAGTTAATGTCTGCTGGATTTGTATGTGAGTCATTTGGTTGTTGAGTTAGTGTTTACCATCCTCATATTGTTTACGCAAAATATTTTTAAAGTTAACATTAACATTGGTGGTTCAGTGCAAGTTTGCTTTCCTTCCAAGACTTGCCAAATTCCACTAACCCAAAATGGGAAAATCACCAATCTAATTTTATGTGCATTGCTGTTTCTTGCTTCAGATCCTTGAGATTGAAGCTCTTTAATGATGGCTACTGCAACCGTCTCTTCTGCTGGTCCACGTTATGCTCCAGTGGACCCCACTCTTCCCAAGCCTTGGAAAGGGCTAGTTGATTGTAAAACTGGTTATCTTTACTTCTAGAATCCGGAGACCAATGTCACTCATTATGAGAAGCCCGCTGCCTCTTCACACACGGGCTCAGCTCCACCACAAAAGCTGTCTTCAGCACCTGTAAGTTCTTCGGTTCAAGTTGAACAATCTTCTCATGGACATTGTGACAGTATCTTCAACGATGATGATGATAGATATAATGGGGGTAGCAATAGTCGGTCAAAGCTTGATACAGGAACACGGAGTTATCAGGTCTGTGTTCTACTCATGTTTACAAGCTTTGCTTTTTTGTCTTTATATTTTGTTCAGATAGTCAACCAGTAGTGCTGCTATTGATGTCACTCAGGTTGCCTTGTGAAATATCTAGACTTGTGAACCTATCAACCTGTTGGGAGGTTGGAAGTTGGATGATGATTCTTGATTTAGGGATTTGTGCCCTGATTTTGCTTTGCTTGAGGTGTTGAACGGTGGTCATATATATATTCAAAAAAAAAAAAAAAATTCCAGTTGTTTATGGATAAATTTTACAGGACCCATGTTAGTGGACTATACTTGGATAAATTCTAATTTTCTTCAGCACAGTTTTTAATAATGTATTAACATCTAAGTGGATAATATACTATTAGTTTAGTAATTTTCGTTTCCTTTGCGTCCTCTATTTGGTTGTTGTCTTCACCCTTTTTGATGAGGCATATTTATTGCATCTGACTGTTTGAACACCCATAACTGGCTCAATTGATATTGTGCAACGGCTTTTGGGAAGTGCCTGCATGGATTGAGTGCTCTTAATATTGATGCACTTGGCTTCCATGAATATATCTAGTTGATTTTTTAAATGAATCAGTATAGAGCTGATTTACTGACACTAGGCAAGTGAACTAGGATGGGCGTTGATTTTGTTGAAATCATTGCGTGGGAAACTATGCACAAGAATTCAACAGGGATTAGAAACTTTGTTCATAAAAGCATGGATAACCATTACATTTGTGTCACCTCGATGACTATTAATGAGTTATGAAGCATGGACACGTCAAAATGGAAGCCGTGGCAGTGTCGAATACGGGGACACGCCGGGGACACGGGGACACGCCGGGGACACGTACGGGACACGGCATCTGGCGTGTCCTCTTAATTTAATTAATTTTTTTGCGAGGGACACGACGGAGACACGGCAGAGACATGCGTGTCCAAATCTGGACACGCCATGGGACACGGGAGGAGTAAATGAAAGAGAAAATGAGTACAAACCTGGTCAGCGACTTCTCAGCCTTTGATCTCGAGCCAATCGACCTCCATCCAGTCCATTTCGACGATCCAATCCACTTCAACTCAGAGCTTTCTCTCTCGCCTTCGGCTTTGCATTTGCAAAGCTCTCTCTCTCGCCTTCTCTCTCTCTCCCTCCCTTGCGATTGCGATCGCGATCGCGATCGCTTCTGTCTCCCTCTCTCTCGCTGGTCGCGATTGCGCAATCGCTGGTCTCCTCTCTCTCGCTAATCGCGATCAGTGGTCTCCCTCTCTCTCGCTTTTGCTTTTGTCTCCCTCTGTCTCTTCTGTCTCCCCCGTCTTTATCCATATAGGAGTATAATATATGTAACTATTATTTATTATAATAACTATTATTATATTATAATAACAATAACTATTATAATAACTATTATTATTATTATATATTATAACTAATAACTATTATAATTATATATTATATAATAGTTATTATATAACATAAATATACTTAGAAGATAATATATAATACAATGGTTATATATTATATAATAGTTATTATATAACATAAATATACTTATAAGATAATATATAATACATATTATAAAATAATATATACTTATTAATAAATAAATAAAATAAATAAATAAATAAATACATATGTAAAATAAAATAAAAAAATTAATTAGAACACATTATTTAAAAAATATAATAAATAAATAAAATAATTAATGTGCATTAAAATAAAAATATTTATAAAAAAATAAAAAAATTAAAAATTTGCCGTGTCCCCTGCCGGGTCCGTGTCCCCATTTTTTAGAAATTGCCGTGTCCATGTCCGTGTCCGTATGCATGTCCGTGTCCGTGCTTCATAGTTAATGAGCCCTAGGTTGATGATGTTAGTACGTCTGACATCTTGTTCGTCTATTTCTTGAATTTATGCCAGTAATTTTAATTTAGTTTGGCGTTTACTATTGGACAGCATTTTGTTTTGTGATGAAAGCCAGGATACACCACACTATGAAGGCCTTGCCAAGTTTGGTTTTCAATTCTTGTTGTAATGAAAGTTCTAAATTTATCACAGCCTTTTTAGTTTTGCAATGGGTTGGAGTTGCATCTACTTTTGAGACAGCTAAAATGTTGTGTTTGGTGTAAGTTGTGAAAAACTTGCTTGGGAAAATATTGATTTTGGTAAACATGAAGTGTGTGTAGCTAAGAATTGAGGGGTTCAACTGTCAGAGTTTGGCACTTTGTTTGTGTGGGAATTTATATTCACATAGAGGAACTGAATTGCTTTATTGGGACGGTATACACAATACGGTTCTAGTCGAACTATGAAAGTTTTTGTCTCATTGCTTGCTATGAGAGGCATGTCTTGGATGGCATTGATGCTTTCAATGGTCACTCTCTTGGCTTTGAATTATACATATATATAAATATATATATGTATATGTGGCATGTCAATTCTATATGTTTTGTCACACTTGAAAAATAGATTTTTTTTTATTGCCCAAATTAGGTTATTTTACTTCTTAAAAAAAGAAAAATGTGTGCTCCTTGTATTTGTCCTACATTAGAGCAGATACTGCTTGAAGGTTAGTCTCTTTTTTTTGGGTGTTTGGTGAGTTTGACCCTTGAAAAACCTGTGGGTGCCCTTTTCCTTGTCTGTTCAAAATACACGCTCATTTTGATGTTATTTTTGGTGGTTTTATGGTGTATGTGTATTTTTGCAATTTTGACTCTTGCTTTTCGACTGAAGTACTGCCCGATGGGTTGTATCAACTCTACTTGCATGAGATCATTACTGAATTACATGAAGCATTCCCTGAGTCATCCTTTCTTGTATTCAATTTCCGAGAAGGCGAGAAACGGAGCCAGTTTGCTGAAATTTTATGTGAGTATGATGTTACTGTCATGGATTATCCGTGACAATATGAGGGTTGTCCCTTGCTACCACTGTCTTTGATTCACCATTTCCTTCATGTTTGTGAAAGTTGGCTCTCAAGCGGGAATCACCAAAATGTTATTTTGTTTCATTGTGAGAGAGGGGGTTGGTCGCTCTTGGCATTTCTTTAGGTAGTTTCTTGATTTTCAAAAAGTTGCGTAGTGGAGAAAAATACTCTTGAAATTGTTCATCGGGAGGCTTCTAAAGTTGCATTTAAAATTTCGGGCCTTAATAGTTAAATTATATGGCCATAGAAATAATTGCTCAGGGAGAAAACATCTTCAGAGAGAAAAGAAGAAAAATATAAAACAGAGAAAAATGAATCACTCACTTGCAAAACATAAAAGGAAAATGAATATTTATCAGAAGCAATATTGTTTGAATTGATGAATGAGTTGCTAATGCTAACATTTCATACAATAATATATAGTTGTGCACTAGGAGTGCTCTTTATTATCATTTTATTTTTATCATGAAGTTCACTCAATTTGATCATGTCTGAGAATGTAGCTAAAATTGCCAGTGTTGTAGCATCCATGTCTTTTGCTTGGTCTGATTTAAAGGCATTTAATCTCAACTTTGATAAGCATGTAATGTCTCTGTCCATATACTAGCCATAAAAGTGGACTGCCAACAAGCTGGTCCTCTTCTCTCTTTAATTTGAGCTGCCTGTCGGTCACCATGTTGATTGAGTTTGATTTTTCAAGATCCTTCCATTGTGGACTTCCATGCTACAAAGTCCTTGAGTTTCATTGAAATCTACACTTGGTTGGAACATGAAACATTCAGGAAAAAGTGTTTTGTGGTTGTGTATGTGTATGGAAAGCACAGTAGTTGCATCTGCATCACATTTCTATTAGATTTTTTTTTTCTTTGGGGGGGGTTATTCTAATGCTTTATTTCCAGAATGCTGTTCTGTTTCAAGAATGCTGTTCCTTAATATCATACCCGTTATTATAGGTAAAAGAATTTGCAGACATGTGTCAAGTAATGCAGACAATTCTCACTATAGGAAATGCATTGAACCGAGGCACTGCTTGAGGTATTATTCTGTGAGATTGAAGTATGTTATGATCTGTAATATTTTGTTTGGTGGAAAGCTTTTGGCATTGACCTCCTCCTTTGTATTTCAGGATCTGCCATAGGATTCAAATTGGACAGCCTACTTAAGCTGTCTGATACTTGTGCAAGGAACAATAAAATGACATTGATGCATTAGCGACCTCAGGAGCTTGATTTATGCCCAGGAGTAGGCATACAATTTTTTCTGTAAAAGAGAACAATTTAGAAATATGCTTGAAAGGAAAAATGATGACTCTTCTTTTTGTAAAGGAATTTTTGGTTACTACTTGCTAGATATTTGTCTGATAACACATTACACTGAAGTTTTCTTTATGAAACAAAATCTGGTTATCTGACATCCTTGTGTTTTTAGAGAGTAATTTTGTATGTACAAATTTATAATGGTTCTTTAAATTGCTTTGCGTGTATTAACTGTTTTCTCTTCTTGAATAGTTCACCATATTTGTTTAACAGCTTCCATTTTGTTGCGCATGTTCAACATCTTTTTTGTATTTTATTCTTCCAATGTTTCTTTGAATTCGTGTGATGCTATGTCAATTGCTTTCCTGTCTTCATTAGCTCGTTGCCGAGAAGATGCCAGAGTTGCTGGATTTTGATAAGGATCTCATTCATTTGGAAGCAGCCTAAGGTTTGCATTTTTCTTAATGTAATATGTGAATGGGGTGTCTCTAGTTGATTTGTACAATTTATTGCTTGTTCCATCTGCATATCAAATGGCCAAATCCAATTGAAGTCTTTAGCTGAAGAAATGCAAGCTGTGAGTAAAGGTCTTGAAAAGGTTGAGTAGGAGCTCACTACTTCAGAGAATGATGGTGCCATCTTTGTAGGCTTCCAAAAGGTAGGGGACATACTTGGGGCACTAGGTTACCTTTTTTTTTATTGTTTTTTTCAAATTTATGTTGGATCTTCATAGATGTACATAATTCTAGTTTCATGACAAAACTGGTGTATGTTTGTTGACAGTGATGCTGAGATATAAAATAAAGGGGATTTGCCAATACTGAAATTTTAATCTTAGTGGAAAATTCAGCAGTAAATTTGGTTTGATTTTTCTTTTGTTAAAATCTGCAAGTTCTTGCTTAGTTAAGTATACTGACACATTTATCTTGCAGGGAAGAAGTGCAGATTCATTGTCTCAGTATTTTGGGGATCTAGCTAGGTGCCCTTTTGAACAAGGTTTGGTTTTATTTTTCTCATTTATGTACTTGATTTTCTGTTGCTGTCAAGTAGGGAAGTTCACTACATTTCTTTTCTATTTGATCTACCACATGGATTATGTTAGAGATGTATCTGTATGTAGGTTAGATTAGATGATAGAAGTGAAAATGCTGACATATTTCATTGCACGAGTCTTGCTAATTTGGTTAAAAGCCAAATTTAATTGAAATATTTCTGATAGTGTTACCAAAAAATGTTAATGCCTTAGAGATTTAGGGCTTTAAGTTTATAAGCTACTGCTTGGTTTGTTCACAAGTTGCCGCACTTTATAAGCTACTGTCTTTGTTGGGATGTGCATATGGCTAGGCAAGGTTATGTTCATGTGTGTGTGTGTATATATGTATTAAAAATAACTTTCTACGGCATGCAAAATTGTGCCAGGAAAAGTGTAATGATTTATGGTATGTAAGAAAATGTCGTAAAAGATTATATAAGGCATACAAAGTATGTCATAAATATATTAAAAATAACTTTTTATGGTATGCAAAATTATGCCGTGAAAAGTGTAATGATTTATGACATGCAAAAAAAAGTTGTAAAAGATTATATATAGCATACAAAATATGTTATAAATATATTAAAAATAACCTTCTACGGCATGCAAAATTATACCATAAAAAATATAATGATTTATGACATGTAAAAAATGTCATACGACATACAAAGTATTCCATTGATGTTTAATTTATTACTTTTTACAACTTTACCTGTATGTCGTAAATGACGATCAATTTTTTACATGTCATATAATGACATTTGTATGCATGCTATGAAAGAGTTTTTACGGCATGCATTGCAAGCCGTGAAAATTATAATAAATAGAAATTTCTCTGAGTTATGTGGTTCAAGATTTTCACTGACGTTGGGTTTGAATTTGTTTTGGTGTTCGGTAAGGTTGTGTTGTTAGTTGGACGAATAGTTCTTGAATTTGTTCATGCAATCTAATATTTTCAGTTTCAAGCTCTGAAATTAAACATCTCAACTGTTGAATTGTTTTTTTATCATCTTTTTAAATCTCCAATATCCTTAGTTTCATTTGGTTTGTGCTATTTCTTTCTTGAAGTTCCGAGTTATTTGATGTCAAGGTTCTTTTTGCAATGTCCTTTTCTTGAAGAAATTCATTCCAATTTTTTTCTTCTTCTATTTTGGATTTAGAAAGTGCCTTTAGTCTTTGATGTAGATTAGCAATTTGAGCATCATTTGATTCCTCAGATTCTTGAGGCTGATGCATTGTTGAACCGCAAATGCTATCATGATGTTGGTCAATCGGCTCATTATGTTCTTCTCCATCCCTTTCCTCATTGTTTTCTTCTTCCTTATTCGATTTAGTGCCTTCATCTTCTTCTTCATTGCCCTCATCTTCTTCATTGTCTTGGTCTTCTTTCTGTTCATTTTTTTCTTTGTCTTCTGCTTCTTCATTTTCTTCTCTAGCTTCCTCTTCTGCACTGCTTGTTTGATCTTCTTCGCCATTGCTTGCTTCTTGTTCTTCTGTGTTGCCTTCTTCTTCTTCATTCCCTCATTCTTCAGATGACTCTTCTAATGTCTCCTTGAATTTGACTAATGCCTTTTTTGATTTTTTTCTTTTTCTTTTTACCAAGACAAAACTCTTCTGATAGGTTTTTAACTATCTCCTTGTTATCTATCTATAACAAGAGGCTCTTTTATTAGAGAAATATTTAAAATTCACTGAGAGAAAAATTCAAATAAGCCAGATGAAATTCATCTAAATCATACTAATGGGAAATAAATTTCAGAGAAAATTGAATGGCTAGAGAAAATTAAACACAAGTAGGGCTACAAATGAACCAAGCTGTGCATGAACAAGTTCGGCTCGGCTCGTTAAAGGCTCGGCTTGGCTCGGCTCGGCTTGTTTAGTAAACGAGCTGAGTTCAAACTCGAATATTAGGCTCGTTTAGTAAACGAGCCGAGTTCGGGCTTCATTAAGTTCGACTCGTTTATCTTTATTTAAATTATATAATAAATATATTATTTATATATTAAATAATATATAAATAATAATATAAGTACATTTTTTATAATATAAATAATATTTTTTATTAAATATTTTTATTTAAATAATATAAATAATATTAAAAAAAAATGCATCGAGCTGAGTCGAGCCGAGTTCGAGTTTCATTAATATTAACGAGATGAGCCCAGCTGAGCTCGAGCCTAGTTCCTTATCAAGCTGAGCTCAAGCTCAATAAACGAGCTCGATAAGTAAACGAGCAGAGCTCGAGCTCAGCAAAGCTCGGCTCGGCTCAGTTTGTTTGCAGCCCTACACACAAGGAGACATAATTTTATGAGTCAGAAAAAATTACGAAATAAGCCATAGTTTAGATATCAGAGAAAATCAAACAAGGCATATAAGTTAATGTTATTATAATTGTGGTCAGAGAAATTTGGATTCCAGAGAGAATTCATTACAAGGGTAGAAATAAACAATGCTAATCAAAGAAGCAACATAAATTCAAATTTCAGAGAAAATTGATCTCAATCAGTCAAGACACAAGTTATGTGCCAGATAAAATTACACACAAGGTGAAATAAGTTTATGGGTCAGAAAAAATTATGAAACAAGCAATATAATTTAGATATTAGAGAAAATCAATCAAGGCATATAACTTAATGTTATTATAATTGTTGTCAGAGAAATTTGGATTCTAGAGTGAATTCATTACAAGGGCAGAAATAAACCAGTGGTAATCAAAGAAGCAACATAAATTGAAATTTCAGAGAAAATTGATCTCAATTAGTCAAGGCACATAAGTTATTCCATATAAGATATTGCATTGCAGAGAAAATTGATCAAATCAAGTAAGGCACAAGGAGGGAAACAAACCACTAGTCAGATAAATTTTAGAATTTTACTAAGATTTCAGTGGCAATAGAAACCTAACCTGTCGAGGTGCAAGAGAGTGGACTAGTGTCTTCTGCAGCTATTTGGTCAAGCTTTGTAGGTTCCATTTGGCACATCTTGGGAATTTAGCTGTGTTATTGGTTTCCCAGTCAATGATATTCGCATGTTCACATAGCCAATACTGTGATGGAAATTGAAATAATTAAATTTTGCTAAACACACAAATTTGTAACTATCATAACTGTAAATTTGAATAGAAATTCTATTTACTGGCAATGCAATGACACATCCCGTAACTTTTTCTGGAGTTTTGTGCAATGTTGTGATAGAATCAATCAATGTTGTGATTGCTTCTGGCCAATCATACTGTTTTATTGATTCAAGAAGTTCGACGTACTGGATAAAAACCCACCCTATTGAATTCCCACTTATTGCAAAAAAGAGGGTGAGACACAAGTACAAGATAACAATGATTGTTACATTTTTGAAGTCAAGTTGGTTGCTTGCCTTTCATTGCTTTGACCAAGGCATTCTTAAGAACATGACTAGTGAGCCTTATGTTCTTTGGGAATCTTCGCTTTAGGAATGTAGTGTTTGGCTTTTTTGAATATCTTAGTGACATGGCTCCTTTATTACCTTGCAAACCAAAAATCAAGGTCATGTCATTGGTTGTAAAGGTCAAGTTTTTTTGACCAATTGTGAATGTTTTCGTTTTTTCATTGTAACGTTGGATTATTGCAACTACATCATTATTAGATTTTCTTGACTGACTTGGATCTATTCTTCCAGTGGTTAGAGCTTAAATCAAATACTAGAATGGAGTCTTTTGAAGTTCTTCAAGTTGGTTTGAATTGAATTTAAGTGTTTGAAAAAAGGAGACAACAAATGAGAGGTTGGATCGGTATTGAATGCTGTAATGAGCTCTCTTTCTTTGGAGTTTAACATGTTTTTTCCTCCTTGAGCTTGAGTCTTTTGAAGTTGGGGTATTCATTTTGATGCTTGTTGCTTCATCACCTGGGACTTGTGTTTTTTGGCGAGGAGTTTGTGATGTTTTGCTGCTTTTTAATCTAAAATCATAAAAAGACTCGAGAGTTTCTGTTTCTTTCGTGGTGTTTCTGGTGTTTTGTTGCCTTTGGGTTTCGCCATTTCTAGACAATGAATACATAAAGATGTCAACATTGAATTCCAGAGAAAATTAAACATGTTACAGAAAATTGAACTTGTCAGAGAAAATTACATATAAGGGAGAAAACTAAG